TGCACCCGAGTATTGTCATGGGAGGAATGCCGTGGTTTGGTTGAGGAATTTTTCGCATGAATTTGCGGAGAAGTGTGATTGTTCAGCTCTTGAACATGTTTTATCTACAATTCCTGGCGCTAAGAGGATGATTATGGGTCATACCATTCAAGAGTTTGGGATTAATGGCGTTTGCGAAGAGAGAGCAATTCGGATTGATGTTGGTATGTCGAAGGGGTGTATTAATGGGTTGCCTGAAGTTTTGGAGATCAATGGGAATTCAGGTATGAGGATCTTGACCTCAAATCCATTGTACGAGAAGAAGAAGAATAGATCTTCTGTGGAAAGTGAGAGGAGGCCAGGGCCTGGATTTTTGCCTCAAGAGCATGGACCAAAACAAGTGGAAGTGAAGGCTTAACTATTTGGGTATTTTATGCTAAACCTTACTAGTCTTACTTAAATGGAGCTCCTTCTGAACATGTATGACTTTTTACTTTTTATTTTCTAAACTATTATTCAGCTGGCCCCGGAAGTGTAAATATTTAATCATCAATAGTCAAGCTGGAAATTGGATCAATACTAACATTTTGGTATTCTTTAATTTGTGTTTCTGTAGCTGTTTTGTTTTTCAACATGAAACATTAGTGCTTTCACTAACATTGGAAAATGTTTTGTGCAAGCAGGGATAGATGTTTACAAGTTTTGTGTTGTCATGTTATACATGTTTCGACTATTTATTAAACTCTTTAGTGTGTTTCTACTTTTATTGATGCATTGTTGATCACTCATATCCTGAATCTAGTATATGTGCTGCATGGTAAGGCATTGTATCATTAGAAGTAGCTACCATAAGAATTCTGATGGCTATTTATTTTGGATTAAAAATTGGTAATGACCAACTATCAAGAGTAATTCTCATTATAAAAAAAAAGGAACTATCAACGTAATGTTGTTTTGTTCCTGACAAGGAAGATTTTACTTGAATGCTCTTACTCTTTTCAGTTGATTTTGTCCACAATTGTGTTCTGATCGTTGATGTTGGTAAAAGTGAGGGATGTGATTATGATCTGATGGCCACGAGTGGAATACACAATGACTTATGAGTGTGACGCCAAGTAGGCATATATAAAGGTTTGGGCATCAAGAATTTGGAATCTTAAAAAAGGCCCATAATTTTCTTCTTTGAAAGTGTTTTGCCATTACAATTGTAATGATATTTTTAGGTTTTTGGAAGTCTTTAGTTGTGGGGCGTGATGTGGATCGATTGTTGGACAAGTAATAAATTCTCTGGATTTTGCCCAATAGTTTGAAGGAATAACTTTAGTGGCACATGTATTAAAAATAATGGATCCAGACACAATTTTGTGTTGGATTTTAATTTTATAAGCAGTTTCCAGAGACATGGTTGGTCTTGAAATAGCAGGAATTTTTAAGAGTTTGTCTTATTGCAGCTTTTGCTTTTCCTGAACCAGAATCTGGAAATTGCAATGGAGAACATCATTTCTCTGTGATTCATTTTAAAAATGTTCTCTATTGAAAGTTGGATTCAGCAGAACTGATTTTCTAACAATGCAAGTACGGGGATTTGGGTTTCTATGCAGTTCTTCCAGCTATCAATATCACTCTTAGCCTCCTTTGTTTCGAAAACTGCCTCAAGTTCAAGCTCGCCAGCAAACTCCTGCTCACCAGGTATTAGAAAATAAAAAGAAAAGAGTATAGAACTAATGAATGCCATAGTACATTGAGTTGAGTTTATGCCAATTCATGCTATGCCCTTTTAAGTTGAAATTTGAACGCAAATAGTCCTCACTGCAGTCAAATACATTAATTCTTCCCTGCAGTCAAATCTCTGTTTCCTTCATTTTCCTGCAGTAGTACTTTTTATTTCAATTTGGGCGACTTTTAAATATTTTAATAATTCAAAGCGTTCAATATTGTTATTGACTTGTTTTGTTGCATAGTTTGGAATATCTTGAGATTAGGGTCCTCTGTAAGCACCAAATCTATAAAAGTATCCTATAGTTCAGCTACTTGAACTGCACAGATGCTAAAGTTGAAAGTAAAAAATAGATCGACAATGAGATCTGAAATTAGAGCGAAGGGCGAATAAAGAGTGCCAACTTAGCAACATAACATCTGAAAGTAAATACTAGTTTTTTCTTTCTTTTCAAAACGGATTTCCCGTCTGTCTGTTGCATGGTACAATAAAACTTAAATAACTGCTGTTCCATATCCTTAAGATTTATAATTATTTGTTAATTGTTATGGATATATAATTTGAGTTTTGGTATGATAGAGCTCGACATTGAGCTCAAGAATTCCTCCGATGGTTATTGTAGCCTAACATAGGTATGGTTGAAATTACAGTTCCTTTGGAAAAAGCCTGCCTTTGATTTGGTTTAGTTACAAATTTACAATGCATTTTTATGAATTTACTCAAATAGGTGGATCAATAGGAGAACATAATTTCTCGCCTCAACATATTCTTTCTTTTGGCCTTCTCTGTTGGATCAATGTTGTCCATCCTAGAGGCTTTAGTTATAAGTGCTGGGAGAAGTTCAAATACATGGTCGGAACTTCCTTGCTAATGGATAGAAGGGGCTAAGTAAATCCTGTTGAGATGACTATCGGAACTTGCTTTTTTCTCTGTTATAGTTGAAATGCATTCTCTGCTTTTAATATCAATTAATAATATCAGATTGTCAACTTTGTAGACTGTTTTTTGTTAGTAAAATTTGTCTTAAGTTGACTGAACCTTTACCATTTGAACTCGCGGCATGACTGTTACTAGATTCATACTCGACATGCATTTTGCTGACAGTCATCTGCATGTCCATACATCCACTTGTCTCTTTTATTTTCCTTCTATATTGTAGGAACCATCATAACCATATCCCATTTTCCACTTTCTTTATCAGATGGCTGACAAGCATACTTGGTCAAACAAAGAAGAGAAATCATTGCCGGCTGACATCGAGGAGAAGTCGTTGCAAATGGCCAATGTGATGGAGTAGCTACTTTTAAGAATAGATGAATGCAGGAAGGTGTTGTAACTTGTTCATCTTCTTCAATTCCCCCCAGGGATATATGGTGACTCTGCGATTATGGACTTGCTTTATAATATATATCCAAGTATTCACTACGTTCTAGTCGTAGAAGTTATCTTTTCTCTTTTCTGGGTTATGTATCCAACTATATTCTAAGATGCATTTGAGGAATATAATTATCATTGAGATTTCAATTTTGAGTACAGGAATGTGAGCTTGTATAAATAGGGATAAGCATCAATGGGTACTGAATAGCTTGATGATACTAATTATCTCACATGGCACTTTCAGATGCAAATTCTTCTTGAGAGTCATGGCATTTTGGGATTTGTTGACGGCTCAAGGAAGTGTCCTAGTCGATTTGATGCAGACGCTGATCTTGAGGGTGTTGAAACTGTGTCTGCCGCGCAAATCTCACGGCCTGGAGTTCCGGGCCGAGGGGATATGCGTTAACACGCGGTTTCCTGCTTTTGGGTGCGGTGCGGTTGTGCGCGGGCATGCCAGCACGGTCTACCGTGCGTCGAGTTTGGTTGATGTGGATAGAATGGTTAAGTGGTGCGCCTGTTTGAACTCGTCTTCTAATCAAACGATTGTAGCCGAGAGAGGAACTAGTCTCGGCTGTTTAGGTTCACGGCCTGAACTATAAGGCCGTTGAGTGGTGGTGTTGGTGGGTTTTTTGGGCGGTGCTCTGGCGCGCTGCTCAAGGAGCGACGGTCGTATGATATATGGGGTGAGTGAGCGAATAACAAGGATGGTGCTTCGGCGCCTTGAAAATCAAGGGTCGTATGATATATTGATGAATGAATTTTCCTTACAGTCTAACACTACTCCTAG